AGGTATGGGGATTTATCACTGCTGTCTATGGGAATTTATTTTTAGTGGTGCACCGTTCAGGAGGGCGCTATTACCAAGAGGGCGCCAAATATTACATCAACGGGGGCGCTTTAATACGCGATTCCTATGACGTAATGTATGACGTCGGCAACACATGTTATGAATGAGCCATGAATGGCGCACCGCGCGGGACACGAACGGATAAAATGGACGCGAGGAGACAAACATCCTTGGTAAGAAGCATGGCATATGACTCTTATTTAAGGAGTTATGCGGGATAACTGAATGCAAATGGAATGTGGAACATGGAATGTGAAAGTTGGTATGATAACATTGGCGGTTGAGTTGAATGTTCGTGTTGAACATGAATCACATGCACATGAATCGTGGCCGGGACGTGAGGACTCAAACACATGTTAATTTTTTTAATTGTTATATTATCATTAGGATGCAGTCCACCAAACACTTGTACTGTGCATGTACAGCGGGCGAGCTCATTAATATTTTGTGATCCCACAGGGTTTTTACAATAAGACATGCCATAATCAGGAGGCATCATTTCTATAAATCCCGAATCTGGGACTGATAGTTTCCAGTGCGGGGGTACTACATGTATGAGGCAGGTGGCTACATTCAGAAATGAGCTCTTAGTTTTCAATTTACCATGGTTTTACTGCTGTTTTGGGGGTATCTTGAAGTTCCTTGAAAGGTGAATAAAAAAAGATTTTTGCGGCGAACCCCCATGAAATTGGAACGAAAAGTGATCTTCTGGCCATAATCTTGAATTTCCAGTAAAAAGAAATGGAGGCCAACCTCTTCGCAAGAGTCAACAGGCGGTGCTATTTTGGTCTGATTTTCCATTGTTTTCTGTGGGGTGTGGGCGCATATATTTGGTGTAGTGCAACCTACAGTGCATATTACGAACATTTACATCTTACCATGGAGGATTAAGCTACTTTTAATCTAGTCTAACTCTTAGATGAGGGGATTAAGAGTTTCATATGGACATCGATAGTTTTGTCTTACAGTAGTTTGTTAGCCATCAGAATGTGATAACATGACATAAAAAGTTTAGCGATGAATTGGCCTGGCTACAGTACGTACAAGTTTACGTACATGTGTGTGACTTGCATGTACATGTATAGTACTACTAGGAGGATAGGACTTGTACATGACTTCTGGCCAGCGCGGTGAAAACAACCCGGGGTGAATACACTTCTGCTATGCAAAGCAACGTAAAATGCATTGTTTTTACCTGACCTGCACTGACCCAAGGTCACGCAAAGTCACGTCCACAAATTCACTTAGGCCTGCCGTGCTTAATGTAAATGACTTAGGTTAGAAAACACAGGTTTGTAGAATTTTCTCATGTTAGCGCCAGTACTACCAGGTTTTGGCACAGGGTATCATACTATCATTTGATATGTAACTCTTTTCAGCTAGGGTCAGTACATTTGATCCCAGCATGGAGGTAGGAAAAGTTGTGGCGTGTCCAGCTTTTGGTGGGGGGGGGCAAATTCAAAAGTGAATGCAGCTTTTCTTGGGCTTTATAGTCAACATGGTCGACATAATGTCGAGGGAAAACAAATAAAAAGCCTTACTCACGGTCCTGACATCCTTCCTTTTATTTGCTGGGTTTTCTAAGGTTTGTGGCGGTAATATTTGTGAAAAATGTACTGATTACTTTCCTGTACTCACCTATTCAAAGTACTCTTTTAACAAAGTAAACTAAAGTCCATTGAGGGCGCCATAATTTTTATTGCGACCATAGAAAACAGTGTATCATTTCACTATGCAGTGAGTTGTGAAAAGGCGAGGTAACAAAGGACAAGCATGCTGGTAATCATCGGATTAGAATGTTTAGAACCCATGTTATTTATTGATGTCATCGTCTTTGACCAATACATGTACAGGGCTCACAGGGCTGCACATTTCCATCTGCTCAACAATTTTAGCATACACAAACTAGCCCAGACTTTTATATGCTACATATGACACGTGACCATGTGGAAGTTTGATTAGTCCTTCATAAAGTTGTAGGAGTGAGGCTATAGCAGCTCGAAAGCTTGATCAATTCAAAATGTTCGGCAAATACAATAGTGTTCCGGACCAAACGTGAACATTTTTGCGGAAATCCTCAAATGCATAGAGTTAAAAGTTGTAGGAGTAGGGCTATAGCAGCTCGAAAGCTTGATCGATTCAAAATGTTTTGGCAAATACAATAGTGTTCCGGACCAAACATGAACATTTTTGCGGAAATCCTCAAAATGCATGGAGTTAAAAGAACAAGAAGTCTTCTGTTGATTAAGGGACAAATAAATTAACCCATGAGCCAGTTTTTGTTGTCACAGCACCAGAGTTACAGTTTTTGTTGTTACATGTACCAAGCCATCGGGATTTTTTCTAGGATCTTCAAGTAACGCCCAAGGATGTCCATACATGTCCTGCAACATCAAAAGCTGAAGGATGCATTGTTATTTTTTTTTAATTGTAGAGGAGGTCAGAGTATTGAGATACCTGTAAGATGATAGAGCAAGGAATGACCGATGTGAGGGCAGCATCACCGGAGAAAGAGCACAACCTGAGTAAGTTCACTGAGAATGACACCACCTTGAATGACGGTCTGCACTTTTTTCCAGATAGCTTACTCATTTGCTCTCAAACTGTTAGCTTTAATTTTCAATGCCAAAGACTGAAGTTTCACTTCCTAATATTTGCAAGCCATTTCCTGTCTCAATCACAAATGACCAATTGCATCCACTGAGTCAGATGGCCCGCAATGGGTATCAAACATCAACAAACATGGCATCTTCCTAAAGCATGACCCACAGTGGGCATCAAACATGGCATCTTCCCATAGCTAAGTGTGTTCTACATGTAAGTGTTCCCTACAGTTGCATCCAAACTCTTGACAAACGGCCAATAGTTCAACGGATCTCCATCAAACTTGTTAAGTTCACATTTCGGGAGTTACGTGGTATCAATCAATTTACGCTGTAGGTCTGGCAATATTAAATATTAAGCCAATTTTTGAATAAGTACTCGGCACGTAAGTAGTCTGAGTACTTCACTGACTGTCAGCTTTATATTTTGATAGATTATACTCATGACACTCTTTGCTATGGGGAACACCATCAATGATTCGTTTTGTCCTGTTTTGTTCAAGGCATATCTATACAAGACCTAGCCTTTCTGATAATGCCTCCATCATTGCCATGCAGCTTCTTCTTTTTGTCTGCTTCATTTTTTCGCATCTTTACTCCTTGAATGTATTTTATTGTCATAATTTTCTACATGTATTTGCATCATATTCCATATATGGCATTATGGAAATAAATGTTGTTGAAGTGAAAATTGAAAAAAAATGTTTGGTATCCGCTATACTGGTAGGTCATGTGACTTAGCAGGTGCAGTAGGTTTTTTATTCTGAAGTACGTCTAGGAACTATGTTTTGGAACAGATCTCCTTTTTTTTTTGTTTATTGTATTTATTCAAATAGTTGTGACTCAAACTGGCTCCAGCTACATGTAGATTCCTGACTGGTATTGACTTTTGTACCTACACGTACACGTATAATGCCTAGATCAAGGCAGGCCTCGAAATAGTACTAGCCCAATGTACAAATAGTAGCTAAAAATGCTCCGGTCTACCTAAACTTGGTTCCTTGGTTGCCCGGTAGGCTAGTAAAAAGCTCAGAATAAGCCTACCTGTTAAAACTTAGATGTAGATCAAAATAAATACATGTATTCAATATAAATTAATATATCAATATAGATATCAGAAAGTAAGCAAAAAAAGTGGCAATTTTTGCCTAACGTAAGCAACCCAAATGAGGGAAAGATGGAGCAAAGAAGTGCTTTTGTTCCTGACTCCGTTACCAGTGACTCAAGTGATGTTTAACTAACATACATGCCTCTTAGTTTATACCATCAGCCTTTTATTTTTCGAAATGTCAAATTTTTTATTGGTGAACTGATAAATTTTTATTTACAGGCTAGTAAAACTCTAAATGGGCTCGTAAAATATCCAGTTAACCAGCCCAGTAAGCCAGCCAGGAAAAAAAGTTAGCGCAAGGCCTGCTTGACACAAGTAGTAATGTTCAACTGAGCGGAGTCAACTTGTGTCACAACATCATTAGACTGGAATTGAGTCATGAAGTTTTTATGACTCATTACAGCTGTGGGTTAAGTTCTATGTAACTCGCAGACTCATTAAATTAAAGACGTTTTTGTACCTATTTTGTATTTTAACAGAAGAGGAAGCAGGGGCAAGAGAAAAACAAGTTCCAGTGAGGACCCTGGTGACAGCGACCTGACAGTGATGAGGAACAAGAACAGCAGGTGGAAAACACAGTCACTTTCATCATCTCTTTGGAAACCAACTTTTGCTGGTATGGCACATTTGGCCATTTGCAAACTCCTAAAGCACTATTTATAAAAAAGCCCACTTCAAGAAATCCTCCCTCATTTAGTCACAAGTTTTGCGATTTGTTAGAACAGAAGCATAAAAAAGCAGTCCTTTTTGGTACCTTATTTTGTTTGTACATGGGTCAACTGGTTTAGAATGGATGTGGTCCAAATCAACCATCTCAGGCTGAGAGGAGAACATAAGTACTGTTTGTGCGAAATGGCTGAAGCCACTTTTTGTGGCTGCTGTATTCCTATTGTCTTATTACATGTACTTCTAGCCTCAGCCATACCTTTTGGACGCTGCTGTAAAATCTGTGACAAATATTTTTAGGCTATTACTATTTACCACTGTAAACTAGCACACCTGCTATCTTGATCTTGTATTTTTTAATCTGTTAATTTTTACCAGGTGTTAAAGGCGTTGGCAGTGTGGTTGGTCCCTGAAAGTGGGTGAATCATCTTCTGGTAATCCTGCCCTGATATGGGAAGGTGAAAGCAGTGTGGTTGGTCCCCTTCCTGTGGGCTCATCTCCTGGCATCACTGTGTGGTTGGTCCCCTTCCTGTGGGCTCATCTTATGGCATCACTGTGTGGTTGGTCCCCTTCCTGTGGGCTCATCTTCTGGCATCACTGTGTGGTTGG